TACAAAATGGGCAGTACTTGGATTTCATTCATGAAAAACACACAGTCCCAATCTTCAGTCATCCCAGTCTCAATACTCAAGTACAGCCAGATAAAATGTGCCAAGGAGACCTATATGTCTGGACCATATAACAAAGGAAAGAGTGATGAACTCTGCTTCTAGACTCAGTCAGAGGAGGGTTTTGATGGGAGACATGCGTGAACTGGGCCTTAAACCATGAGTAGCTTTCCCAGGAATCATGTATCACAGTAGAAGAGGTACCCTGGGCAAGTGGGTGAGGGGAGATAAAAGTCAGGATCATAGGAGAAACAAAATCCAAAGTCCTTATAAAGGAATACTCACAGATGTAGGTAATGTCAAGGGAACCAGGGAGGGGTGCTGAAAAGCCCCAAGGTGAGCAACAGCAGGAAGTTGTTTCCATCTATACCATTCAGGGTGCAGGCAAGGAAAAAGAAGTCGTGTTCCATTGGGAATATGCAGTGAATTAGATGAAGGGCAGGTATAGAGTGGTATGACTAGGGTTAGGGAATGAGCAAAGGATGCTGAAGCACCCAGGCACTGGCTAATAATGGTGAGGAGTCATTACGGCCCTCAGTCTGAAAGAGCAAGGGGTTAAGTCAGTGTTCCTGGGAGCTGGTGCTGTGGAAGAGGGACTTCCCCACAAGATCTGTTTCTAGAGAGGGATACAGCCAGTGTCAGAACCACCACATCTGAGCAGACAGTGGGCAAAGAAGAATTGACTAACTTCTCTCTCTTCCCACCCACAGATCTCTGACCAGTTTCCATGCAGAGGCTGAATCCATAAGATCCTTAAAAGCAAGGGAAGCCTGGGTGTCATAGTTCATTGGGGTTGGACTTCCATAGTACGGAGCAGGACAGATACGGAGAAGGCGTGAGTCTGGTTAAAGGGAAAACCAAGCAAGGATAACTGGCAAAGGAGGCAAGGGGGAATAAATTCTCGGTAGCCTTGTTTCTGTCTCAATGAACTGCTCAACTCACAACTCAGCTGAAGTCACAAAGATGATGATAAGAATCCGAGAGAAATTTCAACTGTTTCTTATTAGAACTGAGAATTTATTGTAGGGTCTGAAGTTTGACCAATTTTCAGGTGAAAGATCCTTGTTTTTCTATGTAGTGCTGTTATACTTTAAATTTGGAGTTCAGAAACATGAGATTACATTGTCCATTTGGCTCCCTAGTCAATAAGAGATGGTGTATCTCTTTCCTACTCTTCATACACACAAACAAACCTGGTTCTTTTGTGTGAAGTCATCCATGGTCTTTGCATTCAGAGGGTGCCCAGTAACTGAGCCTTCTGTCTGG